AAGTCAGACTAGTGTCCAAGGTACTCTGCAAACTCTACTACAACCAAGCTATGAAACGCGGATCTCTATCCGAAACAATCGTCACAGGGATTCCGTGTAACCTCATTATGTTCATAATATACAGGTCGGCGAGATAATCTACTGAATCACTCTCACGCATAGGTATAAAATGCGCAGACTTGGTTAACCGGTCAACTACCACCCAAATGGCATCACTACCCCCATTGAGTCCTCGGAAGGCCCACATCAAAATCCATCGTGACATGCTCCCACTTCCACTCAGCTATAGGCAAGGGTTGCAACAAACCCGCTAGTCTCTGATGCTCAGCCTTCACTTGCTGACAAGTAAAGCATTTCTTTACAAACACAACCACATCCTTCTTCATACCTCTCCACCAAAATTGGCGACTAAGGTCATGATACATTTTTGTGTCTCCCGGATGCACCGCAAGGCGTGAGTAGTGAAACTCTTAGAGTACTTCCTCTCGGCAAGACTTCAACATGAACAAGCGGTCACGGTATCTCATATTTTGGTCGGGATATACACTTAAGACCCTCTCCACTTTCCCACTAGAGATCTTCTCCCGGAAGGTTTTTACCTCAAGATCATCCCTCTATGCTTCCAACACTCGGTTCATAAGTGTAGGTCGGACAATTACTGTGAAGAAAGCCACAGATTCATCGAACCTGCCAAGATGCAAATCAAACTCCCCAAGAGCACCCAATATCTCCCATTCCCGGATGGCAATACAAGTTACGCTGCTAATAGATTTCCCACTCAATGCATCGGCCACGATATTGGCCTTCTTGGGATGATAATGCAGCTCGAAGTCATAATCCTCTATGAACTCCATCCACCTCCTCTACCTCAAATTCAAATCCTTCTGTGTAAACAAATATTTCAGACTCTTATGATCAAAAAGCACCTCAAATCTCTCACCATATAGATACTACCTCCAAAACTTCAAGGCAAAAACCACCGCTGCTAACTCTAGGTCATAAGTAAGGTAGTTCCTCTTATTTGTTTTCAACTGCCGTGAGCCATAGGCTATTATATTCCCCTCTTGCATCAAAACCCAATCCAAACCTTCCTGTGAAGCATCACAATAAACTGAATAACCCAAACCCCTTTCCAAATTAATCAAGACTAAAGCAGTGGTAAGTCCTACCTTAAGCTCTTGGAATGACTTTTCACAGGTCTCATTCCACACAAAGTTAACTCCCTTCTTCGTCAGTCTGGTTAATGATGAAGCTAATCTAGAGAAATCCTTCACAAATCTCCGATAATACCGAGCCAACCCTAGGATACTACGAATCTCATAAGCATTCTTAAGTTGTGCCCAATCTTGCACTGCCTCTATCTTGGATGAATCGACAGTCACTCCTTTTTCGGATACCATATGGCCTAAGAACTTAACCTCTTTCAGCCAGAATTCACACTTCCCAAACTTAGCATACAGTTTGTGGACTCTAAGTGATTCAAGCACTACTCGCAAATGTTTCTCGTGTTCCTCTTCAGATGGTGAATAAATTAAGATGTCGTCTACAAAGACAACCACAAAACGATCTAGGAACTCACAGAAGATCTGATTCATCAAATCCATAAACACCACTGGAGCATTGGTTAGCTCAAAAGGCATCACTAGAAGCTCGTAATGGTCATACCGCGTACGAAATGCCGTTTTCAGGATATCCTCCCCTTTTACCTTCAATTGATGATAACCCGATCTCAGATCTATCTTAGAGAAGCAACAAGACACCTTCAACTGATCAAACGAATCGTCTATACGAGGCATTGGGTACTTGTTCTTAACAGTTACCCAGTTCAACTTCCAATCATTGATACAAAAAATAAAAAACAAAAAATTAGAATTTTTTTTAGTTCTTTAGTGAACTTTTTTTTTTCAAATTTATTCATAAACATTATTACATTATAGATGCATCTAGATTAGATGCAACTAAAAAATAAAAACAAATTTAACTAAAAAAAGAAAAAAAAAATCACTAAAGACGGAAAAAAAAAATGATAGTAAATTTTTCATTTCAAAATTGACAATACAGGTGTTTAAGTTAGTATTTTTTTCATTTTTTTCGTCTTTAGTAAACTTTATTCTTTTTTTAGTTAAATTTGTTTTTATTTTTTTAGCTGCATCTAATCTAGATACATCTATAATGTAATAATGTTTATGAATAAATTTGAAAAAAAAAGTTCACTAAAGACTAAAAAAAATTTCAATTTTTTTGTTTTCTATTTTTTATTTTTTGCATCTTTAGTGAATTTTTTACATCACACATAGAGTCGATGTGTTAGCGATGTGGCAGATTCTATTTGTTTTTTAGATAGAAGTTAGTCTAGGAATAAAATGGGAAGGATTGCAAATATGAAGGGCCAAAGTGGGATGGATTGCAAACATAAACGGTCAAAATGAGAAAAATTAAACTTAAAGGACCAAAGTGGGAAGGATTGCAAATATGAAGGGCCAAAGTAAGAAAAATTAAACTTAAAGGACCAAAGTAGAAAATGGGTGAAACTTTATGGGGCAAAGTGTAATTTTCCCTTCTTAATTTTATAAGAATTAGTTTACTAACTTTCTATTTGATTAGTATTTCACAATGTATAATAAAATGATTTCTAATTATTTTACATTTTAAATAATAGCATCAATTTTATTGAATTGATTTTATTAATACAATAGGTACATGTCACTTTTTATTTTAAAAATCAAATGGTATGTATATCTTTTTATGAGTAATGTTAGAGAACTTAAAATTTCAGCTCTAAATTTATCTATAATAATATGGCAGGAATTAAGTCTTAATTGATTGATTTTTAAGCAAATCAACTAATATGTAACGTTTAATGTTATTAAATGTAAATTTAAGAATCATTTTTAGTGATCCTAAATATTTTTCACTTTTTATATTTAGGGCAAATTATATATACCTCCCTCGAGGTTTAGCTAAATTACAAATACCCCCCTGAGGTTTCGAAAATTACATCCCGCCCCATGAGGTTTGTATTTTCATAATAATTTGCCCCCTGAGGTTTATATTTCATAACAAATTACCCCCTAATTTCTTATGCAAATACAGCATTCAGGGGGGAATTTGTAATTTCTCAAACCTCAGGGGTATTTGTAATTTAGCCAAACCTCAAGGGGGTATATGTAATTTGCCCATTTATTTATTAACCATGTCAATCAATAAAATAGTCTAAAATAATAGTTTAACGGGAGATGCTAGAGAGCTCTAAATCTAGAGCTCTAATTTGAGCTCTAGTGATGTGTCCAAGCAATAAAAAAAAAAAAAAAAAAAGACAAGGCACAAACATCACATCAGAGTGGGTCCCACATTCCCATTAGAGCTATTAGAGCTCCTATATTAGAGCTCTAAAACATTTTTGATAGTTTAACTGATTGTACAATGAGATCTAGTCACTAGTTCCAAACTTCTAAAAATTCGAAAAACTATTTGTCTGATTTATTTTAGTTTTCTCGTAAAATACTTAATTCACAATATTAATATAAGAAATTATGTCCAATTAATAATGTATCAAAACTAACGCAATATTTTTTTTTATACATATGTTTTGGCTCCTCCTGTGCAAAATATCTGATTATTTCTCTCTATTACTCATTATCATGACGAGCCACCACATCCGTCACCTCGCATTTTCTGTTACCACTATCACTGGCCCCCTCAACCGCCATATCCCATCAGCTTCTATGGACTATTTCCTCTCCAAAACAAGGTGGTGTTTGGCAATTAGGTTTTTGGATTTTTTTTTTAATTTTTTCACTACAAGATAAATATTTTATAAAATCAAAAAAAATTAATCTAAACAAAATATCACATCAAACTCTATAATTATTTCATTTTTTCTCTCACAAGCATCACATCTAATTACAAAAAAATCTAATTATCTTCTCAAACACAAAAAAAAAAATTTCTAATAATATCTTACAACTAAAAATTTATAAGAAATTCTACTTCCCAAACACTCACCATATCTGATTGACAGTAGTTACCTTCAATCGCCACTTTCCATCAACAATCACCCAACGCTAGAAATGACCTGGTCCATCACTTTTGGCAATGGATAACCATCTCCTTTGGCAATTGATAACCATCTCCGATCATCAAAACCACCTTCAATCAACATCTCTTCTCAACAACTACGTTAAGCTAAATCCTTTAACATATTGTCAAAGTAAATTTTAAAATACATATACTAAAGTAATTTGAATTTTTTTAATAAAAAATATATATACATATTTAATATTTTTTTATTAAATATTAATAAACTATAAAATGTTGCACTTAAAAAGACATTCCAAACAATTCAGATCAAGCCTGCCGACCCAAGTCCCAACCAAAGCCGACATTATTCACCATTGCCATGTGAACGTGAAAAATGATCCACACTCAATTTGAAACCAATCCTCATAGACAACATCAGAGTTGATCAAGTCAAAGGAACACAAAAATTATCAAAAAAAAGTTCTTTACAACATAAAAGAAAAATAAATTACATTAACACCTCTTGAGATTTATATTTATTATAATTCATTTTTTTATATTTAGAAAATTACATTAACTTTCTGTTAATTTAATTTTATATATGATGATCATTACGATGAGGGGGAACTGTTATGAAACTTTAAACCTCATGGAATAATCTGTAATGAAACTTTAAACTTTAGGGAGGGGATGTAATTTTCAAAATATAAAGAGAGAACTGTAATAAATAAAAATCTCAAGGGGTGTCACTGTAATTTATCCAAACAATAATAACAAAATCATGAAAATGACGGTCATACCCCTGACAGGCTTCTTCTGCGAAACACACAAGCAATTCAGAAGGAACCCAAAGCAGGGAGACCAGTTCATAAACTTTTCTGTATATGGGTTGTCATCCACTGGGTCCCTCCTTTTCACCTCCTTCCTAGAATCTCCTTCTTATTCCCCCCATCTATACATATATATCTATTCCCTCTTGTTCTCTCTCCTCAATCCAACACAATCAACCCTTCTCTCTCTCTCTCTCTCTCTCTCTGTACTTTCTCTCTCTAAAAATACAGTCAGTAATGGCAGGGCAAAAAACTGATACCACTGATTTTGAAGATTTGTTGCCGATTATGGCGGGAAAATTGGGAGGAGAGGGACTGATAAGAGAGCTGTGTAATGGGTTTCGGCTCTTGATGGATAGGGATAGAGGGGTCATCACTTTCGACAGCTTGAAGAAGAACTCGGCTCTTCTCGGCTTGCAAGACTTGAGGGACGATGAGCTGATGAGCATGGTCACAGAAGGTGACGTGGACGGTGATGGGTCTCTCAATCAGATGGAGTTTTGTGTTTTGATGTTCAGATTGAGTCCTGAGTTGATGGAGGAGTCCGAGGCTTGGCTCGAGCGAGCTCTCAATCAGGAGATGAAGACTGGTTGGGTTTGATCGGAATTGATATTGACAAGGTTAACATTTTGACTTTTTTTTGACAAAGAGGAGGGAGGGGGACGACGTCGTTTTTTGTTCATGGTTGTGTAAATTGTTCCTCTGCTTTTTATTCTCCAACAATAAGGAAAATCAGATGTTGTTTTTGATTGGTTTTCTTTTTCTTCATTAGGAAAATTACATACATATGCTGTGGAGATTGAAAGAAGATAACTGGGTATTTGATTTTTGTGGCTATACAGATGCATAATTCATTACATGATAACACTTTTGCTGTTGATTTGCTATTGTTTGATTCTCTATTTTGTTACATTTTGATATGTATAGTAGACAATGTGCTAAAAATAAATAGTGAAATCTTTAAAATATTTTTTCTGAATTCACTCATAATAAAATAGCAAAAGTGTGTTATTGGTTTTAATTTGTATAAAAATCAATATAAAAAAATAAAAATAAAATGAACAAAATAAATTTCTATTAAGGTAAGCTAAACTACACTTACAAAGGAGTCTATCCAACAAAATAAAAATTTACACCAAATAAAATAAAAATTATTATACAAATTAACAATTGATATGCAATAATTCATGTCATTGAGATTAAATTTAGAAAAATTTATCCATATATTTCATATAAGAAAATGTTGATCCATTTAATTTTAAGAGTTTTCTTTTGAATCAATTAGTCTTTTTTATTTTGAAAAGTTATATTTATTTGATTTTATGCCATTTGAGTTTAAGTAAATATATTTTTGTGATTCATTTTTTTCAATTTTATGATTTGTTTTTGAGATGAGAATGTAAATATGAGGTGTGGAAATTTTTTTTGAAAGATTAGTGGTTGAAGTGTTGGTTAAGCGTGAAAATCTACATATCTGTTATTGTAATTTTTTGGTATTATATAGGAATATTATATTAGAGTATTACGTTTGAAAAATTACACTAAAGAGTTTTCGTATGTTACATTGATTGGAATGTTACGTTTGCAAAAATACACTAAAGAATTTTTTTGGAATATTACACGTTATTTTTGAAAAAAGTACGTTAAGAAATTTTTTAGTATGTTACATTGAAACGTTACGTTTAGAAAAAGTACAATAACGAGTTTTTTTTGTTTGTTATATTAATTATAGTATTATGTTTGGAAAAAGTATACTAATGAATTTTTTTAGAATGGTAGGCTATTACGTTTGAGAAAAATGTATTAAGAAATTTTTTATTGTATTATATTAGAGTGTTATATTAAAGTATTATATTTGAAAAAAATACACTTTTGAAGTGTCATGTTTAGTAATATCAATATTATGAGAAAATTCACATTTATCTTTTAACATATAACATACGAGCGTTTATACTTGATCCTTTATGTAATTTACACTAAAATAAAATTTTTAAATCTAACAAAAAAGATAAGGCTAAATAATTCATAAAATCATTATTTAAAGTTATCGGTACTTCATTCTTAAATTTAAGTTATTTTAAAAAATAAATAAATAAATAAAATATACAATAGTATGTACTTGCACGATTCAAAGAACCTAGAGTTAAAAATTTGATCAATCCTATTCAATGCACACAATAACTGATCCAAGCACGACCCATGGTTGATGGAGACTTGCAATGGAATCATAGATCCACTGATGATAATGAGGCTTATTTTGGGAATATGATAAAAAGTAATTTTTTGATTTTTAATTAAATTTTTGATTTTTTTAAATAAATGATTTGAAAAGTTGGTAAAAAATAACTTTTGACTTTTTTGATTAATATTTGTTTATGATGTCAAATCATAATAAAATGATCAAATTACCCTCATTTAGTTTAAAATATTTACAACTTCATCCATGTAATATATTTTGACCCATGAGGGGTAGAATTGTAATTTCACTATTGGCTAAAAACTAATTTTCTAAATGAAAAAAATTTAAAAAATCTAACTTTTGACTTTTGCTACAAACCAAAAAAAATGACTAAAAGCCAACTTCCCAAAACAAGCCTTAGTAATGTTTGGGAGTTCTAATTTAAGAGGTCTAATAGAGTTTTAATGATGAGTTTTACATGATAATGTGAGGTTTTGACTTTTTTTTTTTTGCATTTTTTTTTGACACCTCATTAGAGCTCTAGTGTTAAAACTCTCTATCACTACCCAATGATGAAGCTAGAGAGCATCTTACTGGTTGGAATTTGAATCCTTGTTGGTATTGAAATGACAATATCAAATACATTATACATTCATAGATCTACTCATGATGAAGCTAGAGAGCATCTTAATGGTTGGTATTTGAATAAAAAAAAAAAAAAAACAGAAAAGATGAAAAAGAAAAATTGAATAAAAAAAAATTTGTTGGTATCAAAATGACAATATCAAATACATTATACAATGTTAAAATACTGTGTAATAATCGTCTATTCTCTACGAGTTGCTTCTTGTTAGCGAATCATTTCTCTGCTTGGGCATCTCCTTTTCGACTTTTGCATATTTCTCAATCCTGACCATCAATTCTTCTATGGTTGTTGGTAGTTTCTTGGCTAAGGATTGTCGTATTCTGCTATCTACTGCTAGTCCATTTTTAAAGGAAACTACAGCTAGCTCTTTGCTGCATCCTATAGTTCTATTATACATCTTCTAATATCTCTTGGCATATGCCCTAAGCGTTTCCTTGGGCTCCTTTGTATTTCCATCACAGAGTCCACTTGCAAGAGTTGTGTGCTATTTGTTATGCATCGAGCAATAAACAACTCAGACAAATTGGTCCAAGTTTTCACTGTTCCAGGTTCTAGCTTTCTGCACCAATTCGAAGCTTTCTCCCCAAAGGTGGATGGGAAAGCCTTGCACAATAGTGGGTCTTTTCCTCCCTATAACACCATCGCGTTCAAGTACAGTCTAATATATGTTAGAATGGTTGAGGAAATTCTGTACAAAAACAGAATTTTTCGTTAACTTTGGACTATAATTTAACTAGGTCCCAAGTACTGATTATAGCGGGTATTGATGATAACGCGTTCTATGCCGCGTTGTGATTCACATAGTATATTTGGTTGCTCAAAACTATTATTGAGTAAATAGAAAATTGAAACCAAAGTAAGCTCCATGGAAATGATATTTTTTGTGAAGTTTCCATAAAGGTTGGAATTAAGGTTTGTCCCACATTGCTTTGGTAAACAAACTTTGTGCGGGTTTATAAGCCTTCAGTTTGGAACTTAGGGAGGGCCCAAAGGCGTACCCAAGTTTTTTGGAAGGGGGAGGTTATGGGTAAAGTGGGCTAGACCCATTGGACCAAAAACAAACGCACGTGCGGTCAGGCAGCGGGCTTGGGCTTGGGCGCGGGTGCATAGTGTGAAGTTGAGTTGGGCTTGTCCAGCCCAATGCTTATCATTTTGAATTTTATTTTTCTAAAATTAAATTCTTATCTTTTTTTGGAATTTGAATTTCAAAATTAATTCCGAAATGGTGTCCAGATTTTTTCCTTCACCCAAACAGGTTTATATCTGTTTAAATTCAATCCGAACATATTCAATATCTGTTTAAATTCAAACCAAACAGGTTCCTTACCTATTCAAACAGGTTTTTTACCTGTTGGATTCAAATCTGAAAAGCCACCAGTGTACCTATAAATAGTCAACCCCTTATTTGAATTTTGCACTCAAAATTTTTTTTTTTCGTTCTAATTTTGTTATTGCTCTCTACATTTTGTTACATTTAATCTTCTTATAAGAAAGAGTATAAACACAAAGTGTGTTCGTTGTACAAATAGTTTGTAATGCTGCTATTGTTTGTTATAGATCATTTCATCTTGAGAGATAAACGTCCATAATCTGTTAGCAACCGAGAGAGGATGAATCTATCTTAAGGGGACAGTGTTCAACACTGAAATTTATCTAAATATCTGACAAAATAATACTGTAAGTAATTCAATTACTTTTCTTTTATTTTTTTTTAATTTCTTTTTTTTTCAGATTTTGGTTTTGTTTTTGTAACAAAATACGAATATGCTTTTCTTAATTTATATATATATATATATATATATATTGTTTTGATTTTTGTAATCAAACAGTCTTTCTCATTTCTTTAATCCACTTTTTTGAATATAGTGAAGATTGTCTAACAATATGTACTTTTGGATCCGAGGCACCATCGTATATTTGAAACTCTAGCATCAAGAATCTACTTGATGCCTCCCAAATCTCTAGTTCCTGAGAGAATGGAGTTGTAGGGTTGCTTTTTGAAGACTTAAGCCTCTTCAATTCGTTACCACTTGAGGTATGTGCTCTCGACACCTTGATTATGTCTCTTGGATCCTCTATGATCCATCATCTTCTTATGTCTCTTGAACTTAACTAGTCGGCCAAATACATTTTGCTGTTTCGAGCCAACATCGGCTCTTGATCGCTCTTGTCTTCTGGAACCATCATTTCTTTCGTGTGATCCCGCTGAAATATTGCCTTCGACCCTTGTCTCAACGATTCTTTGTCTCCTCTTCCTAGAAAGTGTTGAGGTAGCTTGCCCATTATGCCTGTTCTCCACAACGATGTCCATCATGGCCTCCATATTGGTCATCCTAGTTTCCATTCTCTTGAGTTCTATATCTTTTCAAGCAACTCGATCCTTCCAGACTTGACGGTCATCTTCAGTATAATATTCATCGCAAGGGTGCTCCTGTCCCTTACCATTGTTCATTCTGGAGGCTCCATCCTCCATAGGGACTCTACCTCCACCATTCACGTTGTTATTTGTGACGTTCTCCACATTATTGTTTGCATTGTTGTTTGCTCTGTTGTTTCTCGTGGATTGAACATGCTCCAAAGACTCATTCTTCAAATTAACACCCATTTGACCATGCATAGCTTTAAGATCCATCTAGTTTAACTTTGTTCCCACAAATGACAACAAATTGTGCGTGCCAAAATTTGACCACACAGCCAAAACTCTAATCTTCGTATTGAAATTCTAGAAACAAAGTCAAAGAGCACGCAGCTGTTGTTGAGATCCACACCTGCAAGATCGAGATAGGAACTAACCCAGTTGTTCGTCAATCGGGAGAGCACTTTGATGATAAAGTTAGTAACAACTCACAAAAGAGATAACAAATAGGTAACTTGAATGCTCTAATTCACACATCAACGCACATTCCTCTGTTTTTTTTTTTTTTTTTATCAGCAAAAGAAAATTTTATTAATAAAACATACGAGGAATGAAAAGATACAATAAAAAAGGAGGTGCAAAAGCATCACTATGAAACATCAAGATCCCAACCAGGTTGGCACCAAGATGCACACAAAATCATCTG